TGTGACCTCATATGAGGACATTATATTTTGGTGTATTTCTCTGAGACTATACATGCCACAGTTGTAAGTCTGGATGTCCTGTACAGAGCACATTCAGGGCTTTTCAGAGATACCAAATGTTTGGATGTTTCACTATGACCACTCCCTCTCCTTGGTCTTCAAATATGTCTGATATTAATTTAGTGACACTCTTATGGAAATATGATAATATTTTGTAATTATCATTTAAATCTGTCTCATTTTTAAACTGTCTGTCATAAATCAACATCTCAGGAAAATGTTAATGGGGTTTCAAATCAAAATATGACTTCCTCTTATGAAACAGAACATCATTTCATACTTGTCCACTGAAGAGGACACCTAAAAGCATGTTTATTACACATTTTGGGAGACAAAACAATTGAATAGGAAAACAAAATATATATCAATATTCTTATGAAATATTAGATGTAGGGCTGCACGATAAATCGCATGCGATATTTAATGCGCATCTTGTTAGTAAAGTCGGTTCTGTAATTAGCGTGCTTTCACATGGAGCAGCATTAACTACACAGAGCCGTTGTTCACTGACGAGCTGCGCTAAACCACGTTCATATTCGCGCGATTTTTTGCGCTTCTCATCAGTGAACAACGGCTCTGTGTAGTTAATGCTGCTCAATGTGAAAGCCCGCAGGTGATGGAGATTTACGCTGATTACAGAACCGGCTTTCTGACAAGATGCGCGTTAAATATCGCATGCGATTAATCGTGCAGCCCTACTTACAAGCTACAAATTTACAGTTGAAATCATACTTACAATGACGTCCAAAACACAAACACATCGTTAAAGCAACCTGCAGGGAAGTGACTTAAACAAACCCTCTTTACATGGACGTGATACTGGAATAATAGTTTAAAATGTTCCAGACTAAAGATTCAGGGATTAACACAAACGGAGCGGGTTAAATCTCAACGCACACGTCACTCGATACACTGACGCAGGATCCGCTTCTCCTCTTCCACAAAGCTCTTATCTGACGTGGCCTGTCCCATGTCCCGCTTTCTCTTTTCCTTCTGCTGGAACGTTTCCACGCGACGCTTCTTAGCAGACGTCTGCTGCTTCTCTGACTCATCGTCATCTGTGATGACAAAGACTGTCAAACACTTCAAAACAGCTACAGATAGACAGACAGAGAGACAGACAGACAGATAGACACAGATACAAAGACAGACAGACAGACATACAGATAGACAGACAGACAGAGACAGACACAGACAGAGATAGACAGACAGAGATAGATAGACAGACAGACAGACAGAGATAGACAGACAGACAGACAGAGATAGACAGACACAGACAGAGATAGACAGACAGAGACAGACAGACAGACAGACAGACAGACAGACAGACACAGAGACAGACAGACAGACAGACAGACAGACAGACAGACAGACAGACAGACAGACAGACAGACAGACAGACAGACAGACAGACAGACAGACAGACAGACAGACAGACAGACAGACAGACAGACAGACAGACAGACAGACAGACAGACAGACAGACAGACAGACAGACAGACAGACAGACAGACAGACAGACAGACAGACAGACAGACAGACAGACAGACAGACAGACAGACAGACAGACAGACAGACAGACAGACAGACAGACAGACAGACAGACAGACAGACAGACAGACAGACAGACAGACAGACAGACAGACAGACAGACAGACAGAGACAGACAGACAGACAGATAGATAGACAGACAGACACAAAGATAGACAGACAGACAGACACAAAGATAGACAGACAGACAGACAGACAGATACAAAGACAGACAGACAGATACAAAGATAGACAGACAGACACAGACAAATAGACAGACAGACAGACAGACACAGATAGATAGACAGACAGACAGACAGACAGACACAAAGATAGACAGACAGATAGATACAAAGATAGACAGACACACACAGACAGATAGACAGACACACAGACAGATAGACAGACAGACACAGATAGATAGATAGATAGATAGACAGACAGACAGACAGACAGATAGACAGACAGATAGACCGACAGATACAAAGACAGACAGACAGATAGATACAAAGATAGACAGACAGACATATAGATAGACAGACAGACAGACAGACAGACACACACAAAGATAGACAGACAGACACAGACAAATAGACAGACAGACAGACAGACACACACACACACACACACACACACACACACACACACACACAGACAGATAGACAGACAGACACAGATAGATAGATAGATAGATACAGACAGACAGACACAAAGATAGACAGACAGACAGACAGACAGACAGACAGAGACAGCTAGATAGAAAGATAGATAGACAGATAGATGGATGTTACCGGAGTCTGGCCGCTGTGGCTCCTTCTCCTCTGTCAGGAAGTGGGCGGGGCCACCGTGGGCTTGAGGGGCGTCGTCTCCGTTGTCCTCGTACACATTGGACCATTTGATGGCCATGTCCATTCCATCAGGAGCTCCTTTCTTCTCCTCCGTCACATATGTCTGTGGTGGAGGAACGGCGTTGTTCTTCCACACCTTAAACTCTTTCGGAGCCTGAAACGTTTAAGACTTAAGAGTAAGTGACAGACATCTTCCAGATTGTATGATTTCACTGAAGTGGCCTATAAGTTATGATAAATCATAAATATGTTTGAAATGTACTGATTTGATGAAATTATTCAATAATTTCAATTATAATAATGAACTACTTTAACAATATTATTTTTAGATTGCATTATTTAATAATTCCATTAATTAAACAGATGTACTTATTATAGACCTTACGTAGCCCCGCCCCTTTTCAGCACTGCGCTCATTGTTCTCTGTCTTGGTTTGTATTTCGTAAGATCATATGAATTACATACTACACAGAATTACAGTATTTAAGTAGGCTATTCACGCAAACATAATCTGTTAACGTTTGGGGAAAACATCCGGTCTCTCTGGTGAAACCAACACGGAAGTGACTAAAACTGCAATTCATCAACTGGCCGCTAGAGGCTGGCTGCAAAAGGGAGTCAGTCCCATAGACTCCCCATGTTAAAATGCCCAACTTTACAGCAGAAAAAAATGTGTTTACAGCCTGGTACAAAAAGTGGTTTTGGTCTATATAGCTAATTTTGCCCTTCATGAAAACTGTGAGGGGTGGTGAATTTTGTTATAACTCATCCGTTTAAATTTTATTAAGCCTTAAAGTTCTGCATAATTGAGGGCGTGGCCACTTGAGTGACAGGTGGATTGCCGCTGCTGTCACCACCGTAGAGCTAGGTGGGCGTGGCTTCAGCAACCAGCTCCCGCCTCTTTGCTCATTTTCGATTATCTGGGAGTGACGCGCAGTAACGCTCTGCCAAGATGGCGACGGCTGGCTCCGTTTACTTTAGGCTTCAAAAACGCTCTTCGGAAACCTACGGGTGACGTCACGGACACTACGTCCATGTTTTTATACAGTCTATGTGTGTAACATTATATTAGATCGGTGCAATACAGCAGGTCTCAGTGTTAATCTAACAATAAAAGAAAAGCTGCTCTTGATTGAACTGCTTTTGTCGTTTTAATAATCAATTTATCTGTAACATACACACTGAAGTGATTTTTACGTTTGATTATTTGTTTTTCTAACTTGAATGCTTTTGTTTAGATGTAAAACGAAAAAAGTAATGCAGGCCCATTTGTTTCTTTCTTACATTTGTTCTACTGTTGTTCTTTGCATCTGTTCTTATTTTTAATAACAAAGATAAAATAAAAAAATGCCTATATTGTGATTATTAATATAGTAATTAATATTAAAACCCTTGTGCGGTCTTCGGTCACTTTTGACCGAATAATTTTACATTTTTAATATTTAAAAATCGTAGCTTCATCGGAATGGTACGAAACTTGGTGACTTTTATGGCACTTGGTATGTTAACACACAAAATAATTGAGGGCATGATTCGAAAAAGCTAAGTGCTCGTAAAAAAAATAGTCACACTCATGGTCTTCGGTCAAAAATTCATTTCCATAGGAAATGAATGGGAAATGGCAAAAAAAAATTTAAATACAGAAAATTTTTGTGTGTACAATCTATAAATCCCCCACGATGCAGAAAAAAATTGAATTCACAGCAATGAAGGGGTGAAAGTCTAAAACATCAAGAGTGCAAAACAGACATCCACTCACACTCACAGACACACACAATTATACACACTCCAATGAATTGGTATGGCTATAACCATATAGCCAAAATGAGTCAGAAGACTGAAATAAGAGGCTAAAATCAGATCAGGCCCAGAAGGATTATGCTCTGATAAAGCATTCCTGTTTATTTTTATTACATTTTTATAGAATTTTAATGTTTTGTATAACAAAATGCTTTCTGTATTCAGGTTTGACTGTAGTAATAATAATTCAAAAACTGACGCTTCAAATCAACATTTAAAAAGAGAGAGAGAGAGAGACAGCAGGTGAATGTGTGTTGTGTTGTTTTGTGTTGTGTGTGTGTGTGTGTGTGTGTGTAAGAGAGAGAGAGAGAGAGATGTTTTTCTTTCTTTGCTCTCACCAGGAGGTGCTAATCTGCCTTAAAAAAATTGATTTTAAAGGCCTAGTCTCTATTTTAATCAGAGATACTGCGTTGATTGAAAAATTATTTTAAAAAATTAGAGACATTTTTTTTTTACTATTTTCAATGGGAAAAATTGATAATAATTATTGCATAAATATTAATTAGTACCATAAAATTCTCTCAAAATACTTCTAAGATGTTATAATATTCCATTATATTACTATGATGTTCATTTAGTTATTAATATTGTTATTATCTTGTTATTTTTATCTTTTTGTACACGTATACTAAGCTTTGGCAATATTGTATCATTTACAGTCATGCCAATAAAGCAATTTTTGAATTGAATTGAATTGAATTGAGAGACCTCTTCTGGCGCTTTGACGGCTCTTCTGTCCCAGTCGATGACTTTATTGAGCGGGTTGTAGAGGAAGGCGGGTTTGCTGACGGACCGGAACAGATCGTCGGGTTTGGGCAGCGGCTCCG